GATTTTTATAAACTGTTTTGGTCCACTTTTAGAATTTTGTTAAGATTCTCTTACCCCTTACTGTATTTTGTCATGATGGTTTGTTTGTTCGGCTTGGTTCTAACACTTCTGTCTGGGTCCCTGGGTGGCAAAACTGTTCACTTTCAACTTTCCCCTGAAAAGTTGGCAGTTGGAATATGCCCGCCTGTGGAAGAGAGGTTGGAAGGTTGGGCCATCTGCTTCTATATTCATAGAGATGACAACGAAGAAAATCCAATGGAGTGATTCGACTTTGCTCCTGAGTCAGAAATGACTTGATGCCAATGTTTTGTTTTATTATTTTGATGCCACTATCCGTTTTGAAAATATTACCTTTCCTGTGTGTTTTAATCACATTTCTTTCCATTTGGTCAATAGTTTATACTGTCTGTCTTTTAGTGTTCTTGATAGGTGCAGGAGCCCTGGTGGCCATGTGTTGGGCTATTAACCCCACAAGGCCAGCAGTTCAAAATCACCAGCCACTCTGCAAGAGAAAGATGAGGCTTTTTACTCCTGTAAAGATTTACAGTCTTGAAAAGCCCAAAGATGAACCTGTACTTCCTCCTATAGCAGTGGTTTTCATCCTTCCCTTTAATATAGCTCCTCATGTTGTGGTGGCCCCCCAACCATAAAATTATTTTTGTTGCTACTTCTTAACTATCATTTTGCTACTGTTATGAATTTGGCGAGCCCTGTGAAAGGGTCGTTCAACCCCCAAAGGGGTCGCGACCCGCAGGTGGAGAACTGTTGTCCTATAGGCTTGCTAGGAGTCAGAATTGACTCGATGGCTGTGAGTTTGGGGCATGTGCACTTGGGACTTTGACCTCTCACTCAGTTGGAACAAGAGGCCTATTAGATCAGTTGATAATATGTTGAAGTTATTGGCATTTTCTTAGTTAAAACTATAAAGAACCTTTTTTCAAAAAACATGAGGAGTCTCGTAATGAAGGTGCCACTACTGTTTATGCAATAGAAGGCTCATCTCTCATGCATTCAATAGGTTCAATTCCTGGCCAATGCACTTCATGCATAGCCAACACTTGTCCATCACTTGGTAGCTTGTGTTTCACTATGCTGTTGAAAATGTTTTTGCAGAAATTTCAGACAAAGATGGACTAGGGAGAAAGGCCTGTGGATTTCTTTTCTGAAAACCTGCCAAGGACAAGCTGATGGGGCACAAGAGTTCAATTTCTAGGCGACCATCGGGGCGGTGTGGGGTTGGCTAACATTGTATTTTGTCATACATGGGGTTGCCATGAGTTGAAAGTTTACGGACAACAAGAGTGAGGCTCTTCCAGGGAGAACAAAGTCAAACAAAACCTTCCAAAAAGAAAGACACGTATCAGAAGGAGCAGGGGAATATAATTCTATCCCTCCTGCTGGTCAGAAGAAAATGCTGATTATTTCTCTTCCCTCCCATGGCTTCCCTGAACCTTCTTCGCCTTTTGGATTCGAGCTAAGTTCTCGCATCCCTTGTGAATCTGTTCATGAATCTTTCAATGTCTGTGGATTCGTCTTCTACTTGAATTCTTCTTGTCTCCATCTGTCCCCTCGCCATCTCCCCCCATAAAGCCTAGCCCTTGTCGAAGCAACAGACCATTTTCTTTTCAGAGTGCAACTAGAGATCAAATGGCAATGGGCAAAGTGTACTATCTGGGGTGCTCACTGCGGCTGCATGGACGCTGAAGTGGAAATGATACAGAGAAGATTAGCAGGGCCCCTGTGAAAAACAGACTCTGGGAAAGTGACCAAGCACTGGGTGTCTGGAGACCTCTTGAAAAAACATGGGCTGGTCAAGGCACCTTTCAACATGCAGAACTCACATTGATCAGTAACCAGAAAGATGAAATCCATGACCTTTATTCTCATTGCTTCTTTGCCCTTCTGTCTGTCTTTCTGGCTGTTCTCAAGAGATGGGACAGACCTATGGGTCAGCCTTGCTTTCCTCCTATGTTGTGCTTTCAGCCCATGACTTCCTAGGCTGTCAATTGTCAACCTCAATGTCAAAACTATATTCCACTGAGATGTGCCATGGGAGACTGGGAGAGAGGCCTGGCTCTCGTTTCCCAGAACACAGGGTTGAAACGTATGGTGCTGCCATAAGTTAGAATTGGCTCGGTGGCAATTGGTTGTGGGCACGTTATATTTTATCATTATTTTGTGCTTGTGCAGACCATATGCCAATTGCAAAGAAATGTTTTAGGAGACACTTGTGAGCCGAGGGTAGAGGGAAGGTGAAGGCAACAGGATGTTGTCTTATGAGGAATCTGGTTTAGTTTCTTTCAATTCCAATGCCAAGGGCAATGTGACTGTACTAGCTACGACATTTTAAGCTATTCTTCCAACTATTCAAATGGGCAGTGTGCTGATTATGAAAGACTGTGTGGTCTCTAAATGAAATACAGGTCCTGAGTGCTTGGGTTGTAGAGACATTTCCCAGATATTTTGTCCCAAAAACGGGTCATGTGAATAAGTTTAGCAAAGGCCAGAACTCACCAGCACGATTGAGGTTGTCATTGTGTATAGATTCATTTAAAGGAGCCCTGGTGGCTTATTGGGTTGTACATTGGGCTGCTAACCACAAGGTCAACAGTTTGAAATCACCAGTCTCTCTGAGGGAGAAGAAAAGGCTGTCAACTCCTATCTATCAATAATAGTTATACAACTATATATATAATCAATGGCACTGAATTATGCATTTAGAAGTTGTTCAATTAGAGAATGTTTTGTTGTGTATATTTTTGCCCCAATTACAAAAAAGTTACATGAATAACAATGAAAACAAGGAAGAAAAAAATGTTTTGGAATTGATTGTGGTGATAACTGTACAGCTCTTCTTGATATGATTGATTATTGAATTGTATGACATGTGGATGAAGTGCCAATAAAACTATTGAAAAAAGACCTATCATCTTGGAAACAGTTCTGCCCTTCCCTGAGGGTTACTCAGAGTTACCGTGGACTTGATGGCAACGAGTTTGGGTGTGTGTGTGGATGCATTCATATATGTGTGTGTGTGTACAGATATGTGTGTATGTGTACACATTTATATGTGTCTATATGTATACACTCAGACACATATATGTATGGGTACATACACATACCCATAGCTATTAAGAAACTGCTTAGAATCATCGGAAATTCAAAGAATCCACATCACCCACAGTGGAGTTCGGATTAGTTAATCAGAAAATCTTGGCCTCTTAAAATTATCAGCTAAAGTATGATCTCACAAACATTCAGTAATTAAAGGCTCTTCTTTTGTCTGTAGCCCTGGGAACGTTCTGAGTTACCTGTCAGCTTCAAACCACAGATTGCGGTTCAAAGCCACCCTCAGAGAAAGTGGAGGCTTTCTACTCCCATGACGATTTGCAGCTTTGGAACCTCACAAAGGCAAGCTCTCTCTTGTCCTATAGGGTCCTTATGAATCAGCATCAACTCGATGGCAGTGAGCTTGCTTGGGACTTTACTTTGTGTGCTTAAGCAAAGTCTAAGGCTAAGTCTTTAGGTAAGGATGTAATTACTTAGTAAATTACATGAAAGACCTGGACAGATTGTGAAAATCAGACCACAGCCCACACTTCATAGTTTTCCCCCCAAAGTTGAGGAAGCTCTTTCTGAAGCTTCAAAATCACCGATTCCACCGCTTATTTGTGTCTAAATTACCCACAGTGTCCCGTCTCCATTCCAGACCTACTGGCTGTGGCTCTCCGTGGGTGCTGGTTGGAAGCTACCTCTCTATGGTGTGAAGGTTGGACGCCACATTTTGACAAATTCTACAGTTGAGTGTAACGCGTGGTTAAACTTGAAAGCCATTGGTCTAGATATACAGTGCTAATTACTGACAAATGGCCAAGAAATCTGCTGAAACCACTTCCAAATAACTGAAATAATGTTTACCATGGTGGTTATATGTTTTAGTTAGCTAAAAAAAAAAAGGTTGTTGTAGTTCATAATGTAGCTGAAAACACATAGCGTCTACAACACTCTACTGACCATGGTTCCTGCGATGACCTGGAAGGACCACACATTTAATTAGAGCAGGGCCCTTGGGGCACTTTTATTCACAAACACTGGTTCTGGTCAAACACACTCAATTGGAATTTGTTGGCTTGTAGATAATGATAGAATTAGAGAAATGGGATTTTTTTCTTTCTCTATAAAAATTATTTATTTGTTCAAATAACAAATAGAATACCTACTATGTACCCTCCACTATCCTAGGTACTGGGCATTTAATGATATACAAATACACACCCAGTCTCTGCCCTGGAGATACAACATCTAGTGGGAGAAAGACACACATTAACCAAATAGTTACAAAAATAAATATGTAATTTTAAACACTGGTAAGTATTATGAAGGAATGATGCATAATGGTATTTAAAATAGTATCATTTTACCTACAATGGGTTAAAAATACCATTTGAGTCATCAGCTAAATGATGGGTAGAAGTTCAGTACCTCAGGGGCTGAGTTGGGGTGGTGACGGGGAATGAGTAGATATGTCTAGGTAAAGAAAATAGGATGTGCTCAGACGCTATGGGTAATGGAGCATGCGGGGGTCAAATCACTGAAAAAAGTTCAGAACACACAATAGAAGCGATAGAGCCAGTGACAGTGGTCAAGTGCTCAGGAGGGGGATATTGTAGGGCAGAGTGAAGGGAGATAAAGCTGCAATTAGAGTGTTAGTGCTTTAAGGACCATGCTAAAGATTTAAGTCTCTGTCCTGAGAATAGTAAGAAGCCATTGAGCTGAGAAGGTAGACAAGTAGGTCACATGTTGAATTCACTTGAGTTTTAGTAGGAGGAAGGAGCTGGGAGTAAGCAAACTAAGAGAAGCTGTAGGGAGACCTTGCAGGAGGGTATTGTAGCCATCCATATGATAGGGGAGTGTGGCTTGTAGTAAAGAGTGGAGTAAGTACCATTTGTGAGGAAGATTGGAATGGAAGGAAATTCATATGTTCGAACACAAGTACTTGCCTAATCCTTTAAGGAGTTTCTTTTCCAGTTTCTGCTCTTTGTTGCTCAGAGGCTCTTTGGCTGCTGATGGCTCTCCAGGAGTCGTGGGTTCTCTCTCAGTCTCTTCAGGGGTTTCGTCGCCGTCCCCTTCCTCATTGTTGGGCAAGTCTTCATTCTCAGGCTGCTCCTTTGCCTTGGGGGTGCCCTCTCTCCCTGCTGCGCCCACAGCAGACCCATAGGTGTTTATGATGTCTTCCAGTTGGCGAGTCAACTCGTCAGAGATATCCTGAACTCCCTTTTCAGGCTGCACACTTGCCTCTTTCTCTGAGGTTTGGAGTGGGGCTGAGGGATCCTGGTCACTTGGCCTCACCAGGCCATTCTGGCTTGGTAAGGAAGAGGAACTATCATCTGCAGGTGTTGACTGTGGGTCAGCTGAGAGTTGTACAGGTGGATCCGTCTCCATCTTTGGAGCAGGAGCTGGTGGGAAACACAGTTAGGTTTAATGAAGTTAACCCTCAAAATCTCAACAACTCACTGCCATTGAGGTGATTCCAACTCCCAGTGTCCCTGTAGAACAGGGTAGAAACTGCTCTTGTGGGTTTCTGAGACTGTCATTCCTTAGGGAAGTAGAAAGCCTCTTCATTCCCTCCAAGAGCTGCTGGTGGGTTCACACTGCTGGTTTTCACTGAGCATAACTCACTACTCCACCAGGGTTCACTTTCAGTGAACCTGACTTACTGCCCTGGAATAGATGCCGACTCACAGCAACCCTATAGGACAAGGTAGGACTGCCCCTGTGAGTTTCTGAGATTTTAACTCTTTTTTAGGACTAGAAAGCCTGGTCTTTCTCCTGCAGAGTGGCTGGTGGTTTCAAACAGCTAAGATTGCAGTTAGTAGCCCAGTGCTTAAGCACGATGCCACCAGGAACTAGTGACCTCTAAACAGTAAGACTATCTCCAAATTGGTGTCTACTAATTACTCTTCTAGCGTGGAATGAATGTATTTTCATGAACCATTGATACTACAATTAGTAAAGTAGCATTTGTCTAAATCAAGTCATACTAACCACATATTTTTGGTGTGGGTCTTTACATTTCAGTAGTGTTCCCTATTATTCACATTAAAAGAGCAATTAATACTAATGATATTGTGGCCATTTGACATTTTGCTTAGAATAGTAAATTGATAGTTATCAGTCGCTTATAAATTCTATGTAGGTCACCAATCACTGGAAGTAAATGCATGTATAGATTCAAAATATTTTAATTAAAAATGGCATTCATTTTCTTTCAAACTCAAAACATAGAGTAAAAGAACCATTGGACTTACTAAAGATCATCTATAACAATCACACCCCTAAGCTCTATTGTCATACATAAATTGAAATTTGATTACTATGAATATCTGGTGTGGACACATTATTAGATTGGATCTATACTTTCTTGTTTTTCTGGTATTTTATTTTTCTGTAGTTGAGGTTCAAACTAGCATCAATTTGGAATAAAGCAGAGAAGGAAGAATGTATAAATAAATCAACCACTATGGAAATGTGGTGATATGCATAACAATAATTCCTTGAATTGATAAAAAGGAAAAAAAAGATAGATCACAAGTTTCTCTATTCAGCCTAGAAGCTCTAGGATACATAATTTAATTTTGAGAGATAGCAAGTTAATGATGATGAAGAGGGTATAGTAGGGACATAATCCAGCTATGCGAAACAAGGGGGAGGAGCAAAAGAGTCAAGGATTCTAGAGTTTCTGATTGACAAAGCGGCAGGAGATCGGGTTTAGCTCTTCAAGTACGTTGCGATTTATTTGCAAACGATATTGAACTGAGAGACTGCTCATTAGTAAAATAGGACAGGGTCCTCAAAGCAGACTTGGTCACCCACTTGGCGCTCACCAGGCCTTATTAATCGGAAGGAAGGACTTTTTCCTTCAACGCGTGGGAGTTCACCAACTTCACAACCTCGTGATGCCTCGCTCACTGGCGTCCTCTTGATCCTGGCCTCTACTTGTGGGACCTGCTCATCTATATATAACCTGTGACTGTCACCTCCCGGCCCCCGCCCCGCCCCCAAGGACTTGGAGAACATGGCACCTGCTGTCCAGCCAGAAGCTATTTTAAGCTCTTCTAAAAGGAGTGGTGTTGTTTAGCACTTTATCCTTGATAACCAAGGGACGAGAATAATTCTTTAAATCAATTGAAAACTGCCTTTACTGGCTTAAGTCCCTATGTGGGTTTTAAAGTGTTATTGTGGTTATCTCAGAATGAAATAAAATTTAAGGTGATCCAAACATCAAAGCAGTTAATGAAAAGCTTATCATTCATAGCGTTTTAGTGTGGTTAGTCTTAATGCAAGTGTTTATTTGTATTGATTTGCTCTTTACCCATCAGATACTATAATCATTGCTGGGTTTTGTTTGTTTGTTTATCCTTAATTCCAGGAATATCCTCTGATCTGCTCCCAAACAGACTGATTGAGTCATGACAAACTATTGTGGGACATGCCATTCCCAAAAGTAGTCTCCACAACAGGAAAAATCATCACGGGGGGCGGGGGGCCGCGGGGGCCGAAACCAAAATTAAAAGCACGCTGTTATTTTAAAATTGTCCCTTTCCTAATTAATTTCCTTGGTACAAAAGCAAAAAAAAAAAAGTTTACCTTCTATGAATGTAAACTCTATTGTCTGCTCTCCACCTCCCACCCCTCCCCACCTCTTCACTTGTCCCCGCCGTCCAGGCAGGTGACCACACTCATCCCTTCCTGAGCAACACACTTTAGTTCTAAATAAAACAATGGAAAGTTCTTCAATAGTTCGCTGCTAGTCTCAACGTGGCGCCTTTTAAACACCACAAACCACACTCGCCACCTTCTCCCAGGGCCTGGGGACGCGTTTGTCAGACTTACCAAGAGGCAAGGAGCCAAGCAGAGAGAGAAAAGAGAAGAAAGAGGCAGCAAAGAGCGAGTCAGAGCTGCAGCCGCGACAGGAGGAGGGAGGCTGGCAGGCCCTGTTCCCACCAGAGAGACCGAAAGCAACGACGGGCTGGACACACACACACACACACACACACACACACACACACGTGCGCTGGCAGCAGGCGGGAGGGGGTGGGGAGAGGAACCGCCCGATGACACAGCAAGGGGGAAGTGCACACAGCTTCAGCCGGTGGCTCTTGGGGAAACGTCTTAGCAAAGAGAAGCGGCTGGGAGATCTCATCAGGCCTTGCGTGCTTTCGCTCTTGAAACATCTAAACCGCGAATCGGCAGCCCCTTTACGAACGCACGTTTGCACTCTGGTTCTTTAGGGGCAGAGATTCGCGGTTGTTCCCCGTCTCTCGGTTTCTTTCCAGGGCGGTTTATGATTCGTCGTCTTCTTTTTCTTCTCCCTCTTCTGCTAGCCCTCATTAGTGTCAGGTGTCGTAGCAGAATCCTGGGAAAAGACGAGAACAATGGCGGAGCAAGAAGGAGATGCCAGGATCATCTGAGTCTGATGGCATTGTGGGGTTTTCATGGAAAATTGGAAGGAAACAGTTGGATGAGTATTTGGAACTGGGAGTAGTGTCACCTTCATGACCTTGCTCTGAGGGCCCTGGGGAAATGGAGGTGACCTCAGATCACATGTCTAACGCAGGTAACGCTGTTCTCGTCTCAGATAAGCCCTGGGGAATATAACCTGCTCTCTCATTATTAGCTGGTATCAGAGCTTCAATTGTGAACACCTGGTTTGTAGAAGACTATGGGGCTCCAAACCTATCTGCAGACTATCTGGTTAGAGTAAGCCTCTGGTAGATCCCCTCTGCCTACAGACAGGTAATCGAGCAGCTTTATGACTGGACAGATATTATTGTAAACTTGACTATGAATTGATATGATACTTGCTCAGTCTACCTCCCTCTTGGCACAAGCTATATTTGCTCTGGGTTTGCATAGTTCTCCTTTGTTCCACGACAGAAATTTCTTCTCTGGTTTTCAAAATATCGATGGCAGTCTTTTCTTTCTTACACTTTATTTTGTATCTTTAAATTATATTGTTTTCTTCTTCTTGTTTTGTTTTTGTTTTTTAGTGTTTCTGTTCGGTTTCCCAGGTTATGAAACTCAGAAGGAATGGATGGATAGAGACAAGACTCCCTGCCATCGATGGTTCATCAGGGATGGGGGCGGGGAGCGTGAGAGGAATGGGGGAGCAAGCAAGGAAGGCAGGCGGGGTGAGGGAGCACAGGAACTGATTGTGATGACGTATTTTTATATTGAGAAAACGACTTAAAATTTTTTTAGAAGAATCCAAAGTTGACCAATGGTTCCCGTGCATGAAGGAGAAAGTTTTTGCTTAGGAGGGCATTGGGTTTATGCTAATGATGGTGGAATACTTTGGAAAAGGATCTCAATAATGGTTGCACAACCAAGTGTCATCAATGGCACTAAAATGTACATGTAGGGGCTGGATTGGAGAAAGTTTTGTTGTGTATATTTTTGACACAGATTAAAAAATTACACTCATAATGAGTACAATAGAGAACAAAAAGTGCTAAAATTAATTGTGGTAATGACTCTACAATTCTCCTTGATATGACTGAACTATTGCAATGTATAAGGAAGATGTACCAATAAAACTGTAAAAAAAATATATAGCCAGTATCTTTTAATTCCTTTTCCCCACAAAATTTTTAAATTCTCATATTTCTGATGAAATTGGTTAAAGCAAGATAAATGTGTACTTCTTTGACAAATTTGAGACATATACAAAATACTGCTTTGCTTGAAGTATACATATATAAATAAATATATCAACAGAAAATGCATTTTATTCATTAAAAAATTAAGCATTATCCTATCTTTTCTATACACATTACAGTGAGTAACCCAATGATAGATACATGATTTCTCTTTTCAGATGTTTTCCCACATATAAAAAGAAGTAATGTTTCATTGTAGCTACACTGGACCCTGACTGGCTCGTCTCCTCCCCACGCCCTGTCTGTAAGGGGATGTCCAGTTGCCTACAGATGGGCTTTGGGTTCCCACTCCGCGCTCCCCCTCATTCACAATGATAGGATTTTTTGTTCTTTGATGCCTGATACCTGATCCCTTTGATACCTCTTGATCACACAGGCTGGTGTGCTTCTTCCGTGTGGGTTTTGTTGTTTTTGAGCTTGATGGCCGCTTGTTTACCTTCATGTCTTCAAGACCCTAGACGCTATATCTTTTGATA